TTGTTAAAAATGGCAGAGGGCCCACACACGGTGCCATTACCGCCCCCGTAGATGTACTTCTTTTCCTCATAGTCTGAGCCGGTGTATTCCAGGAGCAGCCGGACGCAATGTGCGAGCTGGAGGGGGAGCAGGGGAAGCGGTGGCCTTGAGGGGTGCTGCCTCCTGACTCCTTCCTCCAGGTAGGGCACCCCGATACCGGAAGGGGACAGGCCAGAAGCTCCCTCAGTGCTCCTGCATATGCCAGCCCTGCGCCCCAGCCCAGCGCCCATCAGGTCCTAAAGGCCAAGCAGGACCAGGCACAGCTCCAGCCAAGCCTGGAAGAACAATCAGTCCCCCAATTCTACCCCAGCTGTGCAGCACTTCCTCCCCACTGCACCCCTGCCCCCTCAGGGGGCCGCTTTACTCACCCCTCGGATGTCCCAGTAACCCAGGATCATAGGCATGGTGCAAGCTTTCCCGGACTCTGGAACTGCTTCTGGAAGTAAGCTGATCCTGGGCGTTTGGCTCCGCCCCTCTCCCTTTTTCCAGGCTGCTCCGCCCCCACCCAGTCCCACCCACTGCCTGGCCCGGGGAATGCCAAACCCAACTTAGTGCTCAAGTTACTGAGTATCCCAGGGAGTGAACGCTGTTTCTGTCCCAGTCTGGAAGATTCCAGTAGTGAAACAGATTTGAATGCACGAAACCAAAGGCGCCTTATCCCCAGGCCCCTCAGTGGCACCCCCTGCCGCCATTCAGGCACCCGCTAGGTTCTGTGCGGCTGGCGGCGCCCTTGGGGAGACAAGCCAGAAACACAGACGGAGCAAAGCTCGGGCCACCCTTCCCCAGGGCCTTGCTCGGGCCGCGCGCCCGGGTGCCCCGTCCCGAGGCCTCTTCGAGGCCTAGGCTGCCCGCGGCAGGATCATCCCCGGGCAGGACCCCGGGCTGCCCCCACCCAGGGTTCAGTCCGCACGCACGGCACAGGGAGCCAGGGCCCTGGCCGGTCTGAGAAGGCCCGGGAGCCCCTTGGTTGCAGGATGACTCCCCTCTGCAGGAGCCAAGTGTCAGCCTCCTCCAGGGACAGAGAACAGCAAACAGACATGGT